CACTCAAACATAAAGACGGGCGATGCAGGTGGCCACCTGTTTGAAAGAGAAACTAGGCACTTGTTTTTAAGCTACTGCATCATACAGTGGTTGAAGAGAGAGTGTATGTTAGTCTTGGGTGCTTGGGGATTGATGAGTCCCCTAAGAGACCCTAAGCCCCATGGCCACTCTTGCGTCTCCATGTTGAACTGGGACAAGATCTACATTTCCTTTTTTTTTTTTTTTTTTTTGAGACACGAGTCTCACTCTTGTCCCAGGACTGAGTGAGTGCCGCTGGCGTCCAGCCCTGGGTCAAGCCAAACCTCAATCTCCGGCTCAGCCGATCCTACACTCGCCTCAGCCTCCTCCGAGTACCTGGCTACAGGCATGCCCACCATCGCCCGCCTACAATCTTTTTGTATATAATTTTTGCGTATTAATTTATTTTATTTTTGATAGAACGGGTCTCACTCAGCTGGTTTCGAACTCCAGACACTTGAGCATCCGCCCCCTCGCCTCCCAAAGTGCGCTAGGATACAGGCGGAGCCACCGCGCCCTGGCGGGAAGATATATTTCAATTCCTTGTGTCTACTTTGCTTTCAAATAGTAGGATAGTGAGGTCTTGCCTTTCCCACCCCATGGGTTTTCACCGGCCAAGAGCTATCAGAAGAATTACAATAGGGCTCCACATCCTACAGCGCTCCTTCTCTGACTGCATTAGCTACCTCCCAGGCCACTGTGGGGCCCGAGGGGTCACCAAGAGTTCCAGTCTCATCTGTGTTATCCCAACGGAAGCAAGCCTAGCGAACCTTTGCTAGCACTGCTAAGAACAGCTGCACAGTGGATGTGCAGGAAGATCTATGAGAGGAGAAACTTTCTGAGACCCTGCAGCCTCCTATTGCTCCCTCCTGCAGGCTGACCAAAGTCCACCCCCATCCCAGCGGCACCCACCACAGCCCACAGAACCGTGATTTGGAACCGGCCCCCTTCGGGAGTAAGAACAGGAAAGCCTTCCCCAAGAACCATTTAGATTTGGCAAAGCCAAAACTTTTTGAGGGTCAGAATTCCTGGGGGCAGCCAACAGGACCGCCACAACAAGCCCCTTTTATACTTTCCCTTCTCTACTTCGAGTCCTTTTATTTCTCCTTGTTTCCTCCAGAGCTCTCCTGGTTTTAGCATCAAAACCTGTATTCAGAAAGTTTCGATCAAGCCATTTACCTCTCTGTGACTAACTGAACTGCCTTTACCACACATTAACTCTACTCCTGAGTCCCTCTTAAAGTAATCCCCAGCCTTAAAAAGTGAAAGTAAAGAGCGTAAGGGGAAGGGGAGAACTTAAGAATGGGGGCAAAGATTACTCCCTCTTTCTTGCGTTTAGAAGTAAACAATATGCCTGGAGCTCCATTTCCGGATTCTTATGGCTGGTCTGATTCACTCAGGTCTGCCTGGTTAGTCACCCTGTATTGCTGGTCACATTTCACTCCTGCTTCATCGGCATAGAGTGTCCCCTTCCCCTCCCACTAAGCCGGAAAAGCACCGCGTAGGGCAGAAGCCATGCCTAGTTCCAAAAGCCCCTGAATGTTCCACATCTGGCACCAGGGCCTAAAATATCAAGACAATTATGATGTTGACAATTAATATTGATACTAAAGGCTATGAATTTCACTCCTAAGCCCTACTTTACCTGTATCCCCATACGCTTGACTTCAGATAGCTGGTTTTCATTATTGTACATCTCAAGCTTTGAAAAGTGAAAGAATTATTTGTGTCACAGGAAAGTCAAAATTCAGACAGGCAAGACTTGCTCTCAGAATACACGGGTCGCAAGTAGTGTGGACATTTACATTTACTTGACTCCAGACTTCGGTCCATCCAAATAAACAGGAGAACCGGTCTGAGTTTGAGCCCCCAGGCCTGACTTTGCCATCTCCCAATCATTTTTATCTCCTCTCTGGGTATCCATCAGATCACCTGTAAAACCTCAGTGTCCCATTAGCCAGCAACAGGGCCCCTTGGACTGGGGAGATCTTGTCTCCTGAGGCTCCAGCTAACCAAGGCTGACACCATGAATTGGATATCATCTAAAATCTGCCTGAAGAGCAGCGGCACACAGTGGCGAGCGCTACCAGGTTGCCCTGGGCTCAACTGAGGAGCTAACATGGAAGAGGATACCTAACCCCTGTATGAGATTCATTCCTCCTCCACCCCAATCCTTCCAAGCAAGGCTCACACCCACCCAGAGTCCGTGCTTTGTCACAAGTCTACTTTACGCTTCTCATCCCCTCCCCACCCTACAGGATTTCTTTAGAAAAGATTCTGATGCAAAACTTTTCACAATGACAAGGAGTGCTCATAACAAGTGCTGTGTCTCTTTGGTGTCTGCATTTCAAAGGAGTCAGCCTTTAGATCAAAACAGCAAAAAAAAAAAAGGCCTCTAAGATAACAATTTCAATTAAAAGGAAGAGTAGTAAAGCTTGAGAACAGAGAGACTGAATTTAAGTTATTTGATATTTGCGTCATTTAAATAACTGATGCAAATTACGATTTATCAATTCTATCACCGTGCCTTAGTTCGCTCATTTTAAAATCAGAGTTGAGCAGCCGCTTACGCAGCTTCTCCTGCTCTAATAGCCTAGTTTGCAATAGAATGACGACCATCATTGGCAAGCAGAAATACTCATTGTACAGTATTCTCTCAAATCACTGCTGGAAGCAGGACAGACTGTATTCGATAGAACCATGCCCCCAGGAGCAACCAGACCTGCACACATCTGGCCTCCTGCCTTCCCCAGCAGCAGCATGAGACCCTCCCCCATGCCTCACTCCTATGCAAGACACGAACTGCTGTAAGGTCTTTCAGGACAAGGATGGGCAGCAGGATCATGGAACTCAGCCCCAACAGTATTCCCCT